ATAAGCTACACAAATGTACGCTCATCATAACAACTAGGACTTATAATTAGCTGAAAAAACGAATGATTACCATTGAATCAATGCAGCGACTTTTCGGTCATACCGCTTCTGTGAACTTCCTGTAAATTCTCTTTTTTTATAGATGATTCCCTTTTCAAAAAAATATTTTACTGAACATCGCTTGGTTTGAGTGTATTTTGTGTTTTCTAAAAGTATCTGTCAATAAAGCGATTCATTCAAATTTTTAGTATACAGGTAAGCAATTCCTAAAGAAACACGGTATCAGTGATGAGAGTGATTTCAACCTGTTGCGTTATTTTGCAACATGGGCCGTATGTGGAATGACCAAAATTGAACACGAGATGGTAGATCATTGCTTACATTCTCGTTTATTCTTGAGCCTTATGTTTTGTCCTATTTTTAGTTGTGATCATTATGAAAGATTTTTTAAACTTTGTAAACCACTGACAACAATCGTATAACGTTGTCCGATTCACTGATCATAAATAGATGAAGATGCTAATTATAATAACAAAGATATTATGCAGTGTAATAATCATTTTCTTACTCCAAGGAATGTTCCGTTGAAAAGCGCTCGATTGTTCTGCGATGAATATCTGAGTCCGTTTCATTTTGTCGACTCTCAATATTGCGTATAATTTTTTATATTTAATATCCAAATTCTTTGAAATTGCAGGAAACTTCTGACGGTAACGACAACGTATCTGTTGAGATACAAGGGGTTTGCCAGTCAATAGATTCAGAAATGAAAACATCAGGATATAAAGCCAACAAAATTGGATCCGTATCGTCGTTATGGACTCGAGAGGATAAACAAAATTTAGGGTGCATGGCAAAGGTTTTGCTTGAATTGGGTCGTGCTGAATACTTGCAATCGTTGGGTTATAAGATCAGTGTTTATCGATATGTTGATTTCTGTCTGTCACCCGAGAATTTACTCATTGTTGGTACTAGATATGATAATGCTGATTTATCAGTTTGATGTCGATTTTGGTGTTGCTGTGAACTTTATTCAAATCTTCATTCGATTATACAGTGAATGAAGCATGGCGAAATTGAGCAACTGGGCCGATTTGTTGTTATGTTGATCGAATAATTGCATCAATCAATCATTTA